TTTGAAACTTTGAAGGTAAATTGAATCTAAGACGATTGAAAGAACACATTATGCTATAACTAGAGAGAATGCTACTGGACTTTAAAATTCATATATACTCTATGAAAAACTATATTATTTACTATTTAATTTATTTTAAATAGATTTTTTTTCATATATCTTTATGTAGAACGATACCAACTCGTATCTCTTATCATCATTTGTATGAAAAATTTTTCTTTTCGTTCTGTCACATGTGAACATATACATCATCACAGCTGAAGAAACAAAAAAAATACATAGAGAGAACAAAAAAGTCATTCTTGCAGAGAATAGTATTTTTAAAATTTTTGCCTGGAATTACACCATACCCTGAGCTCTTATTTTCGGGTAATACTCAGTTTTTTTGCGCTCTTTCTAGTGATACCACTCTCGTGAATTCGTCTTTTAATCGATTTTTTTTTCAATCAGTTGGTATGATTCATATGTTTTTATTCACGTAGCTATGAAAAAAAAATAACGCCTGATCACTCAAGCATATTACGTTGATTGCCACGTCCGAAGGTATTTTTTCATCCTTTTCGTCAATACTTTTCATGACAGTCGTGTTAAAAAAAGAAGATAAAATGAGTAATAAACAACCGCTGCTAAACGCATTCAATAAATTATCTATTTCTGATAATGATGACGATAATGGGAACAACAAACAAGTTTTGACCAACAGGTATGATCCAATAAATGACAAACTTCGAGAAAAATGCAATAAATTTATCATTGTTTGTAGTTTTTCTGATTGGCGACGATGTTTCAGTAGAAAAGAGAACGATAATAATTATATCAAATTAGACGATGATACTGAACATAGTGCCAAAGATGAACCAGTTGGTATTTTCCATTTAGTAAGCCTATTTCAACGAAATGCAAACAGATTGATGTATTCGATTTTATTGTAGTTTCGGTTTGCAAATCGTATCGATTTTGTTTTGATGTTCATTGCCATGTGTCTGATAGTGCTGCAAACAGGTTGTGTTCTAGCTATACTGGTTCTCTTCGGTCGGCTCACAGGAATATTTGCTATTGAATCATTTGGTGATACATGTGATCAACAAACGCAAAATTCAATAGCTATAATTAAAAGAAACAATACATATTTTCAAAGCATCGATCTCAATATATTCAACAATGCTTCGTCACATAAGTAATTCACTAAAAACTATCATCGGTTCATATGTATTTCTTTTATTTTCCTTCAGTACTTTTGTGAAACACGATCGAAAATGAGTGTTGAAGTATGCAGGGTGAAAATTTGGATCCCTCCTCACAGACTGTGAGAGACACTACACAAAAGTCATCATTGTCCGTAACGGACTCAGATATACCATCACAGACCGTATATCAATAAAGTCCCGTTCTAATATTTCAACTACTTGCTTATTGCGTTTCTAGACGATTCAGTAACAAGGATGATGAAGAGATGCGTTCCAAAATAGATAGAATAAAGCAATCTCTAGTGATTAGTAGCAGCAGCTACATCGTGTTTCACATTATAATCTCACAGAATTGTACTAACAGCTTTTTCACCTTAGATTGCACAATTATGGTGATGTAATTTTATCATCAACTTTAGCTACATCAATACCTTCATTTCGAGAAAAAGTTATGAACAAAGTTTACTGGCTATTCAGTAAGTGAACTCAACTTAACAATTTGATCATAATAAATATTAAAAATTGCGTTTTTTTTTGTCTTTGCCAATGTAGTTATTGCTACTGTTGAATATCTGGCCGATTCGATTAATAATTTAATTTGGACTATTAGTATCAGACGACAGATATTTCGTATGAATACTTCCCTGTTTCGGTCACTTGTTCAACGTGTAAGTTATAAGGACTTCCATCTATAGAAAAACTTGTTCCAAAATTTAATTTTAGTCTTTTCTTATCTTTTCTTTAAATTGATAACATCTTATATTCATTTGTATTAAGAAATCTTCACCATTCACAAATTAGTAATTCTAGAAAATCCGAGAAATTAGCTAAATATATACTTCGAGATTCCTGTATTCCTAGAGCTTCTAGATATAAAAGTGACGATTTAAGAAAACAGTACAAAATGTGCTCAACCTCGCTGCCACTCACATATTACATGCTTTCTTAGAAGCTGATACAAATGTAATCGTTTTGAAATTTTATATAGTGATTGCAATCATGAACTGTTTTTGAGAAGCTTTCAAGCTCAGTAGATAATAGCTTTACAATTATGAAGAAAGACATCTTCATGATTGATATAGTTTTACAAACAGTAAAACTAGAAATATTTCTGGGAAACTGAAGTTCAGATAGTGCATTTCTGATAACGATGCTAAAGAAATATTGATGAACTCAGGTAGTTATTGCAATCGTATTACTTATTCTCTAGATTACTGTGTATAGAAACGATCTTATCCACTCTAGGAATGCGCCACTTCAACTCGGAGTTGGTACTATTATCTATAAAAGTTGGAGTAGAATTGAGTTTATATACTAGAGAGTCTCATAGGATGTCGCCTTCCGATTTCAATAATTTTTTGCACATAAATACTAGTTAGTATTCTAGTGAAAATTAATAAAGGATTTCTGTTTCGATTGAGATTTGATGCAGCTCTTGAATTTTTAAAATGTCTATTTGTCAGACACCCACATGGGACTTCACATGTTCGAAAGAACCCGTGCTTTTGAATTTTGTCTTGATATTATCTCTGTCCGGAGGTCTCAGATATAATGGCTTGCACGAAGAATCTCAGAGTTCCAGACTTCATATCGCTGAAATACGAAGCTTTCAAAATATTCTTGTATTTTTCAGCACACTTTGAAAAGCTCGTATCTCTACGATACAAAATCTATAAACTCTGAAACTCTTTATACAAGTCACTGCATATGAGACCTTCAAATAGAGATAGTCTCAAGACGAAACTGAGAAACATAATTTGTCAAAAACTCAAGGGACCTACAGGAGTCTCTAGCAAATACATATATTAACAACTCAATAGCTCGACTAAATCTCAATAATGACTGAAATATTTTTAGAGTTTTCTACTAGAATACTAGCTAATATCTATAGGGGAAAAGTCATTGAGATCGAAAAGGGATATCTTGAAGGTTGAGGGTGTCGATGTGGGACATGAGTGCGAGTGTGGGTCCTCTCTTACGCACATCCAGGTAGACATATGTGTCCAGACTCGCATCCACATAAAGATTAGATAGAATATAAATTTTTACAGCCAGAGTTGTAGTAGGATTTTCAAAAAACGTAAATTTATAGTTGGATTAGAATTTGGAAAATATAAATGGAGTTGAATTCGAGGAATAGAAGTAGAATTAAAGTAACACTCGGTCGAATTTGCTCATCTCTGACTCTTTTCCTTTCTGTTTTTAGAACATTCGTTACATGGATACCAATCCGACTAGTCAACTCAATACTAAACTATTTGAGTAAGCTATTGGGGTATTTTATATAAAATAAATTCATATAATTCAATTCTTGTATAGTAACATTGCAAAGATCGATAAAGGTGTTGGTTTTGAATTCTTAGTATTGATGGTAACGTCACTTAGTATTATTGGTTGTTTAATAGTATCTTTCGCTGTCAACTGGCAATTGACTTCGATAATGCTATGTTTGATACCTTTGGTGATTGGTAGTTCATTTGTGTTTTCTAAGGTATGAAATGTTGTTCAATCAATTAAATCTCTATGAATTGTTACAGTTCACTGCTAGTGAAACAATGAATGAGTTAATGACATATTCGAAAGCGGGACAAATCGTTCAAGAAGTGTTTAGTTCACTAAGAACTGTTCTTTCTCTCAATAGTAGCAAGTTTGAACAAAAACGGTAAAGAAACATATACAAAATAGTTTACCTATTTGATATCATAAAACATGTTGTTATATTTATTGTATTTAGATACGAAAGAGAATTGTATTCTACTCGTTGGAGTGGTATACGGCAAGGTGCAATATTTGGGGTTTATACTGGATGGATATCTCTAACAACTTATCTAGTTTATACAATTGGTTTTATCTTTGGTTCTCTTTTTATGTCAGACAAATTACATCATAGTTTGAATATTAGTGATATTCTTGTCGTGAGTATTTCATATAATTAGTCATCAAGGAAATGAATATATGACTACTATTTTGATGCAGGTTATCTTCGTCTTTGCAGACTGCTTAAGTTTCTTCAGTTTTATTGGTCCTTTTTTTCAGTCATTTTCAGAAGCTCGAGGTGCAGCAGTAGCGGTGTTTCGACTTATTGACGAGGTAATTGTGAATAAATTGAAATTCCATATCGATAGTAATATTCTCTATTTGTTTACATGATATAGGGAAATGATGCAAGTGTCAATGAAACAGATGTATGGAAAGAGGATACAGAACAGATTTATAATATCAATGGTAATATTGGATTTGACAATGTCAACTTTATGTATCCATCTCGAAACGATGTACCAGTTCTGCGTAATCTCTCTCTTATTGCTCGTGCTGGTCAAACAACTGCTCTCGTAGGCTCAAGTGGCTGTGGTAAATCTTTTCCCAAACAAAAAAGGTTAAAGTAGATCTCATTTGTATTCAAATTTTACACATAGGAAAAAGTACCTGTATATCACTTTTTCTTCGTTACTACGAACCTTCATCGGGTCGAATAACGATCGATGGTCGACCGATAACAGACTACAATATCCAACACCTTCGACAAAACATTGGAGTTGTTAGTCAAGAACCTGTATGCTTCCTTTTCATTTTTCTATTCTCGGGTTCTATTTGTTTTTACTATTGTCATAGATTCTGTTTGGTATGAGTATTTATGAAAATATTCGTTTTGGTAAATTAAATGCATCACAAGCAGAAATCGAGCAAGCAGCACGAGAAGCAAATGCACATAATTTCATTATGCAATTACCAGATGTTTGCACCAAATATTTACATTTATCTACATATATGTATCACTATTTCTTGTTTAGAAATATGAAACACTTGTTGGCGAACGTGGTATACAGTTGAGTGGTGGTGAAAAACAACGTATTGCATTAGCTCGTGCTCTTGTCAAACAGCCTACATTTCTTTTATTGGATGAAGCAACAAGTGCACTTGATAATGCCAGTGAAAAAATTGTTCAAGAAGCGCTAGATCGAGCATGCAAAGGTAACAATTGTTTTTTCTACTTATCTTATTGATATAACATTCTGTATAGGTCGTACAACTATTGTTATTGCTCATCGTTTAACCACAATTCAAAATGCGCATCAAATATATGTATTGGATAATGGAAGTGTAATTGAGCAAGGCACACATGAAACGTTGATGGCAAAAAAAGATGGTAAATATCAAGCAATGGTCAAATGTCAACAAATGGAAAAAGTCGATGATGATAAAGATGATATAACTAGCATACAAAAAGCTATAGAAGAAGAAGAAAAGTCGATAAGTATGCTAATATTCTAATAGGAATAGTCTTCATTTTTCTTTGTTTTTTTCTGTTGCACAGTGGAACGCTCTCGCCTACTTAGTGATAGCCACACTATTGATGTGAACAAAGTACAAATATTACTGCAGTTATTTATAAAAAACATTATTGATAATCTCTCTTTTAGCAAAGTTTAAAACCATTCAAGCGAAGATTTGCCTTTTTAAGACTCTTGTCAATGAATAGTTCTGAATGGATTACGATCTTGATCGGTTGTATAGCGTGTTTACTCAATGGAACCGCTCAACCATTATTCGCATTTTTACTTGTCAAAATAATTGATGTGAGTAATCCATCCAGTTAAATATTCGGAAAAACGATTGACAATATACATCGTTTTTTTGTCAATTTGCTTATTATTTAGGCATTCAAATATTGTTCAATCTCTGAAAGACATCATCAAGTGTTGATTATCAGTTTTCTTTTTTTACTTTTGGGTGTTTTCGTATTGATTCTTCGTTTCATTCAGGTAAAAATGCTGCTTCTGAATTCGATCAATGATTTATTCACTCCTTTCTATAGTATACAGCTTTTGCCATATCAGGATCAAAATTGACGCAACGTATTCGTTCGAAAGCTTTTGCATGTCTTCTTCGTCAAGAAGTTGCTTATTTCGATCGACCTGAAAATAGTTCTGGTGCAATTTGTACTCGTCTTTCTTTGGATGCATCAGCCGTTCAAGAGATGATTGGTACACGATTAGGAGTCGTCTGTGAAGTTCTCGCACTGTCATTTTTTGGAATTCTCTTTGGATGCTTCATAAGTTGGCAACTAACATTGATCGTTTTTGGCCCTCTTTTTATTCTATGCATAGTCACCTATGGGGAAGTGTGCTTACGTATATGGGTAGATCAACAATCTGATCATATTATCAGACGAGCAAGCACGGTAAGATCAAGTTTTAGCTAATAGTCTTTTTTTTTGTAGAGAAAATTATTTTATCATGAATTGCTTGATAAATGAAAGCACTATATTCATTCTTGCTGTTCATTATGCAGCTTGCTGTTGAAGTGATTCACAATATACGTACAGTAAAACAATTATCAATCGAAAAGGAAGTGTTACGACAATATTCTGAAATTATTCGTCAAGTATTTCTGTTAGTCAATCAAATCTTATATATATATATATAGATTTTTAATCAATCTTGCTTTGCCATAGACTATCTTGGAAACCTTTGATACTATCTTCAATGGCATATGGCATATTCTGGACAGTAGATGTGTATACTATGGCATTTATATACTGGCGCGCTCTCATCCTTGTTGAAAAGAACAAACTTTCCTCGAACCATATTATAATGTAATTGAAGCTATAAGTTAATAATCTAGAGATAATGTTTTGTTATCTTTTCCATTTATTAGGGTCTTTGCTTTTGCTGTTTTTTCGATGCAAACACTAAGACTCATTGGAATGATGTAACATTTTCAATCTCTACTTTGCTTTTTTTCTTCTACTATCTCCATTCTAGATCTAGCCGTATCGCTGCATCAATTTCGGCTGCTGAAACATTTTTTGATTTATTTGATCGAAAACCAACTATCGATAATACATCTATTGAAGGGCAAGAATTGGTAAGAGAATATAGACGATAATCATTTCCTTTCAGTCATCCACATGCCATGAATATAATATGATTTGTGTAGATTGATTTTCGTGGAGAGATAAAATTTGATCAAGTCAAATTTATCTATCCAACTCGGCCAACATCTATTATTCTTAACAAATTTCAATTGAATATCAAGCCAGGTAAGTGAGATAAGATTCGACTTAATCGATTTATTAGAAATTTTTATTCACTGATAAGGTCAACGTGTGGCTCTTGTTGGTATGTTTGAAGTAACTGTTTCTTCGAAATATTAATTACGTAATATGATGTATACAGGTGCATCAGGATGTGGAAAATCAACAATAATTCAACTGTTGGAACGTTTCTATGATGTTACAAAAGGTCGACTAGTTAGTATTCTTCAACGTATAGTTTAAGTAATTATATAAAATTTGTGCACTTAATCTAGCTTCTTGATGGCATTGATATTCGACAACTAAACCTTCATTGGGTCCGTTCTCAATTCGGTCTTGTCAGTCAAGAACCTATTTTATTCGATTTAACAATTGCTGAAAATATTGCATATGGTTTAGAAAATGTTCCAATGGAAGACATTATTAATGCAGCAAGTAGAGCTAACATTCATCAATTTATTGAGCAATTACCTCAGGTTAAAAAATGAGAAAAATTCTATAATTTATCTATTCCTATTGTATGATATGTTTAGGGTTATGAAACGAAGGTAGGGTTAAAAGGCAGTTTTCTGTCAGGTGGTGAGAAGCAACGTATTGCCATTGCTCGAGTTCTTATTCGTCGGCCTAAAGTATTGCTTTTGGATGAAGCTACAAGTGCTATGGATTCATACAACGAACAAGTTTGTTTATTTTTCTATTTATCAGTTAAAGTTTCATCTTCATTGATCAATTTTAGATTGTACAAGAGGCTCTTGAAAAAGTTCAAAGAGAAGACCCTAGTCGAACATCACTTATTATTGCTCATCGTCTTTCAACTATTCGTTCATGTGATTTGATTTGTGTACTTGATAGAGGACATATAGTGGAAAGTGGTACTCATAGAGAATTGACGCAACGATATGGTGCTTATTATAAAATGCTTGCTCACAACAATTTACATTGATCATCAGTGAACTATATTGGATGTGAAGATACACTTTCTTAAACATTAAGAGATACATTACCTAAAAAAACTCTGATGTATGATATATTTGTATTGCTCAATTTACTGTAATATTTTTATTGTTGAAAAGAAGTTGACGGTTTAGTTGAATTACAGTGTATTACGTCTATTGTTTTTAATTTATTAGGTCATATCTGAACATAGTATAGATAATGATCTTCTCAATAACTAGTTATTTACTGAAAGTTTGATTAATTTATACAAAAATAATTAAACATAAAAATAATTAAACATAAAAATAATTAAACATAAAAAATACTAGCTTTATATCTTCCTATGTAATGATGATCGTCTAAAAACCGACCATTTTATCGTGATATATTAGTCCGATCAATTGTGAAATGAAATTGCAATGAAATCCTCAAAGAAGACGGTTTTTTACGATTACTTCTCGAATATTATTGAAACTCGCAATTTTGTAATGATTGTTTATGATTCACAATATATACTCTACACTAACGTTCTCCGATAGACTTATTGACTAACGACTATCATCAGTTTGATATATGATAAATTTCATGCACGTGACAGTAACAATCATAAAGCTTCCCAACCTACATAGGAGAAATGGAATACAATATTGCATTATGTTTGTCAAAAATAATGCTCACTAATTACAACACTGTAATAATAAAACCTTGTCGAGAAATATACTAAGTAAAAGTTTAGATAGGATTTTAAATATAAGTACCACATATTGTATTATTGGTTTTCTGTTAACGATCTAGGACTTGATGTTGCATCTTTTCTTGAGTACTTTGATTTTTATTGATTCACAAGGATTGAAAAAGTACTTTCTTTTCTTCACCTTTGAAGACAAGAAAAGCATTCTTTACGCATAGCATCATGCTGTGTAGCTTTGAAGGGCTTGTGTAGTAAAATGAGATTATTCAGATTTATAATAGATAATGATGTATCTTCCTTTGTTCTGTATTGGCTGAAATGAATCTTCCCAAGGAGACAGACATGTCTATTTTTGTACTAATTTTGTACCGAAAGGAAACAAACGGTTCAGCTTTTTTTTGTCTATGTGAGTTTCCACTGTAACTTTTGTGAAGACACCAGTTTTTGTTCATTTTTCAGGCAAAATTTCAAGTTTTTAAGGTATTTTTGCTCTTCTTTTTCTTTGTTTCATATATTTTATAAAAATTTTTTTCTAAAAAACTTTAAAATTTGTTTAGAAAATGAGCAAGAACTCGAATTTTTATGAAAACTACGGTGGAAACTCGCATGCACAGAAAAGCTAAGTAGTTTGTTTCTTTTTTGTACAAAATTAGTACAAAAATTGGCATGTCAGTCTGCTGAAGCACTGATACATATTTAGCCCAGGTCCAATAAAACGGCGCCGTAAACGACCTGAAATGGCTATAAAACGGCGATTAGCGATGTAAAATGTCGATAGACGACGCCGTAATCCGTCATACCAGGTTACGGAAGCAAAATCGAGAAAAAACGGCGGCCGTTTTCTAGTGATAGAAACGGCTCGTAATACGGTATAATGGATTACGGCGAAATAAGGCCAAAATTAATGCAGTAATTCGCCGTTTTATAGCCGTTTCAGGTCGGATAAGACGCCGTTTTCGACGGTCGGAATGATCTACCTGGGGGAGTACGGACCTTCACGATATAATAAACTATCTAATTTTAAAAATAGTTTTGGAGTCATTCTTATTGACAGATGATTATTTTAATCTCTTTACTTAACCATTGAGCCATTCTTGTCGTCATGAAATCATCGATAAATCGTTATTGATTTCATACATCGAAAACCGTCGATGTGCAGTGATTAATTATCCCAACAGTGGCGATTTGCAGGATATGAGCGATTTTAATACCAATAGTTAAGGAAGATCAAATTTTATCACGAAGTGATAAGTAATAATCATAGTTATAACTGTAATAATTATTAATATTGTTTTATTTTACTTATCTTATTAGTGTTTTCAGATAATTCTCATATAAAAGAAAGTTCAGTACCGATCTCATCAGTCTTTAAATGCTGATATATATCAACTTTTGACGTCTAGGTTCTCTATATTGTTAAAAATCAATGAAAACTTTTTTTCAAGAGCAAAATTCTTCACTGCTTCCATTATATATGTCATGAGATAGGACATGGCGTTTAACTAGATTATCAACAATATTTAAAGATCATGAAATATTGTAAGGATATCTTAAATATACACATGAAATTCACTTGATATAACTATTCTTATATAGGAATATGAACTTGCTTAAGATTTCGTTACATCTCGAAATTTAGATTATCGTTTTATCTAGTAACACAAAAATACATCTTCTAAATTTTTATTCTGCGACTAACTTCGAAAGGTGGTCAAAATAATGAGAAAAGTGCTATTTGCTTTTATTTTTTTTCATCAACTATTACATGATTCACATCAGATAATACATGAAAAAACTTGTCAGTGCAGCTCCATAGAAAATCACAATGTGAAATTCACAAACTCTGACTGTTATAAATTTATGATATATTGTCAGAGAGATTAAAATATTTTTTTATTTAAAAAAAATGTCAAATAAATGAGTAAATCAAAATTATAACAATTTTCCTAGTTGATACGCACGCGCTCTGAAATTTTATCATTTCGAAAATGTTTGGATTTAGAATAACTATACTATCAATTTCTTAGATTCATTTAACATCGTTATGTTCAAAACAACTTATTTGTATTGTCAGCTATATCTTCAACACATAACAACTTCTTTTTTCCTAATGACAATATATATGATACATGCCATAGAAAGCGGCAAATATCATTCTATTCTTCGTTTTGTCAATTGAGCCACGATATTGTGCTGCTATACACTTTGATTTAATCGTTCAATAAGCTTCCGAGCACATCATCTTTTCTCTCGAGGAATCTTCACATATATTGTTGATTTTTCTCTAAACTTCGAAATTCAATTAGTTCAAACGTTTTCATGCCTCTCCTATATCTGACTCTGCTAGATCAATGACACCACTGCTCTACTGATTGACACTTACAATAAGATCCTTTCACCGTATTAAATCCCTAAATTCACAATATTTCGACTAGTTAAAATCTATCGTAGAAATCTTAATAAATTCATAAAATATTTTGAAAGATTCTACAAAGTTTTAGAATGATCTACTCGTTGTTATTACTGATGCACAGTATCCCATTGCTACGAAAACTTATTCAATCATTGTTGGTCTCTCCTGATCTCAAGAGCCTAGAGAGAAGCCGCAGAGACCTCGATTTAAACTTCCACTCGTTATATTTTCTTCGAAAATATATGTGAGTTCCACAAAACGAAATTTATCAAAAAATTGGCGAAAATCTGCTTTTTTTGATTTTTGTGATACTTTCCACTTTTTAAGAAAATATCATAGAAAATGTGGCGATCCCATATTTTATTCAGAATTTTGTGGTTTTTAAAATGGCATTGTTAAAAAAATAGCTCCGATAAAGTCTTCTAGGACCAAAAAACTATCATGTTCGATTTTAGCAACCTTACCATCATAGTTCATCTATGAAATTTTGCTATGGAATACATTAGATAGAAAACTTCATTAGATATTAAAATCACTATCAGAATTTGAGCTAGCTGCTTAACATTATAGAAACTAAATCAAAAATACGTTATTGTTAATTTTTTTTCCACTACTTTATATACTTTTCTCTAAAGAAGCATCTAACTTGGATTAGAGGAAATCATTAAATCAACGGTATAAACTGTTTATAAACAGATTGATAAAAGAATCAAGAATTACCGATTATGTTCTTATTTTTGGATTATCTATCTTCGATGTTATATCCATTCAAATCAAAAGTTTCAGTCTTCACATTTAAGATTTAGACAGTTTTCATTTTATTCATTGATAAAAATGATAAAAATAATTTTACATCATGAAATAGTAGTCTTTCAATATTTGACATCGGACTTAACAAAGTCATGTATTCTTTTTAAGAGAAAACTAAAAGATACATCCGGTAATTTTTCCTGTTTTTAGACAAATACATTTATTACATAGATTCCACGATGGTATGTATATATAGCAAAAGAAAAAGAAACAAATGTCTCATAAATTGAATATAAATTTTCAACGACGAATACGTGGTACCTTTCATTCAAATTGTCCTAAATAGAAAATGAAACATGAACAAGCAGTTTTATTAAATATTCTCTTACGGTCTTCAACAAGAGTATAAGTGAATGCAGCACCGTAGGTATCTGGCATAGATTGTGAATAAACATCCATTGTATTATTCATAATATTTTTTCCATGTATTGCTATTGTTGATCTTATAGAATAAATTTGATTTGTTTTACTAGTATCTTGCATACCAATAGCTAAATGATCGTAAACAAATAGAGGAAATACTCCGAACGGAATTTCAATTATTTGCCATTCTGTATTATTTCTTTCTGGAACAACAGGATAACGATATGCTATTCGATGATCAATATGATATTTTGATATAGAAAAAAGATAAAGTGGATCATCGCCTTCCCAACTAGTAAAAAGACGTAGACTAACATTAACTACGAATCCTTGTACCAAAGTTAGATGTAGGATATTATAATAGAGAGAATGACTAAGCGAAAGACCAATAGATTCGTCGTATTCATGAAAATCAGATATAAGAGCCGGTGTAACTACATTCAATAAATATTAAGATAGAGAAGACACAATAACCAAGAACTTACAGATAACTAGATCATTCGATTTAGTTGTAGTTGGTGTAGTTAATTCAAAGTGAAATGAATCTTCCTGCGAACTTGTACTTGTTTTACCTTCTAATAAAGTTCTATTTTCATCATATAAATCTTGTTTCTCTCTTTTTTATACCTGTAGTGCTATCTAAACAAACATAATTTCGTATTTTCAATCAATAAAATTTTTCGTACTGATGTTAATCGCAGTTGTACTTGTTATTGATTTACCATTCAACTTAGGTACTAGAAGTGAATAACATTATTATATCAATAAATAAATTCTCGAACTACATTTACATAGAAACCGGTTAGCAACCAAAACTATATTAATGGAAATTATTACAAGAAAAATACCAACTAGAACCAATCCTATAACTGTCCATTTACGTTTTGTACCAGTTCTAAATATTACAACAAATATTTTTTTCAATTAATTTTAAAAATGAATTAAAAATACCTAACTACCACAAGTTCTCCCGAATATCGACCGATCTAAAATGATGAATATATTAGTTATAGAAAAAACAATGAAGAATTTACCGAGATCATTGACACATGACGCATTGTAGAAATGACGAACTTTTTCTTTTCACTACAGATTTTACTCAACAGATTGAACAGAATAAATATTTTATGAAAAATAAATTATTTTTTTTTATCTTGTGACGGAAATAACAAAAATATTGAAGTTCCTAATTTGTTTAGCAGAGCCAACTAGATAAATAATTAAGACATGTTTCCCAATTATTATGAGTTTTTTGAAAAAAATAATAAAGCAATATTGCATTCAAATTATGTACACAAAAATAGAGATCTGCGAGGAGAACTTCGTAACCCAATTATAATTTCGACAAAGTTGGATTTGATTTTATCATTGTTTCTGATAAAGTTTTTCTTTTTCGTAGATCAATAACTTCATTCCTCATATTAATGAACGAAAAAAAAACCAGAAAGACAATATCTGTTTCATAGATGAATAAAAAAACTTAAAGACAAAAATAAATTGATCAACTTTTAGTAATAAAATTCAAAAATTTATACGACATGAAAACATCGTGACATTTATTTAAAAAAACTTTCAACGTTATCGAGATGTTACAAGTGCTTTTGTGACCGATTCTTTGTAGTTTAGGGTATAGTACATCTTGAATTGAAAACTTCAGAGTTGGCACTAAAGTCGAGTTACAAAGCCAAAAAATAAACCTCTACACACAATCAGTTTACTTTGGGCATTTCATTATGAATAATAAAAGTTACAATTATTCTTATGAAGATTTTACTAAAAATTCAGCAAAAGTAATCCGTATATTGTTCGTTGTATTTGCATTTGTTTTCTCTCATTTCTATTTAATTGAATGAAGAATATTATAAAAGAGTAGATGAACTCAATTATATAATAAGAATGAAATAATTTCGGTTTCGATGAAATACATTCGTTAATTTAATCATTTAATGATTTATAATAGATGATGAATGACATTATATTGGGTATATTCCCGTTTCATCGACACTTCCTTAATTAGGCCGTTTCATCGACAAATTTTTTTTTCCCGTTTCATCGACAAATTCGTTTTCCCATTTCATCGACAAGTTCGTTAATGAACAATTTTCGAATATTAATGAAGAAATCTTCTCTTGGAAAAAGAAATTGAGTAGATCGTGGTGACACTATCCAACAATTTTAAAATAAATGTTATCATCAGCATAAAGGGCATATAAACACTTTCTATTAGTGAACATGATTGTTCTTCACACATAAGATTAGTCATGTAGAATATACTAGAAGAAACATAATGTGCTTGTTTCCATTGCGTTCTTTGTTTTCTCTGTTTTCTTTGTGTACGAAAACATATATAAATGCATGTGCTGTGGATATAACATATACATTCAAATCAATATGTTTTCGGTTACTGAAACTACTAAAGGTAAACAATGTTTATTATTTGATGAATATCGTTATCATCGTGAACGAATTCGTAATACTACTACTTATTGGCGGTGTGAACGTATTGGTGATTGTCGTGGACGTGTTATCCAAAGAGGTGATGATTTACCTATTGTCACATCACCACACAATCATGATCCGGACAAAATACGAAATGAAATCGAACAATTTAAAACAGGCCTGAAAAAAAGTATACGTGAAACACAAACACCTATCAAAAAAATATATCGTTCTGAACTTATTAAACGATATTCAAGTAGTCCGGATGATGTTTGTGAATTACCTATGTATCATCAAATAAAAAATTCTTTATACCGGATAAAGAATGAAAATTATCCAAGTGTTCCAGAATCTATTAATGAATTTGTCCTTGAAGGTAGGCTATATTATGACAAAAATTGCTTAATGTTTTTTAATAAATATATTTGATTTTTTTAGGTAAATGGCGTATGTCATTAGACAACCAGGATTTTATTATTATCGACCACCATAATCCTCGATTCATTACTTTTGGTACAGCACAATCATTACAAGATTTATGTGCAGCTGATCATTTATTCATGGATGGAACTTTCAAATCATGCCCATCAGTATTCGGCCAACTATATACCATTCATATTGATTCATCTGCTTCGAATGGTACAGTACCAGTTCTTTATTCTTTTTTACCAAAAAAAACCAAGTCAATTTATACATTATTATTTAATGAATTAAGAACCATTACTCTCCAACATGATTTAGTTTTAAATCCAAAATTCATTACGATTGACTTCGAGAAAGGTGCAATTGCAGCTCTAAAAAATGTATTTCCTAATTCAAAAATTAAAGGTTGTAATTTCCACTACAACCAATGTATTTTCAGAAAAATTCAAGAAATTGGACTACAACAAGATTATTATAATTCATCGAACGATGATCCAACCAGTGTAAAACGTTTAGTACAAGAAACTGGAGCTTTAGCTTTTATGCCTATTCAAGAGGTCAATGAATTATGGTGCAAAATTATGGATAAATTTGAACATATACCACGTTCACAAGATTTCTTTGATTATTTTACTGAAACATGGATTGAAAATGGATGTTTATTTCCAAGATGTCTATGGAATTATTACAAATTCAATGGTGCCAGAACTAATAATGGTTGTGAAGGATGGCATCATCGACTTAATTCAAATATTAACAGTTCGAATCCAAATTTATATCAAGTTATTGATGAATTAAAACGAGATTATGCCTTCAACATGGCCACAATCAAACAACTTACTAGTAGTACAAGCAAACCTCGACGAAATCCAAAATTTGTTCATCGAAACCAACGAATTATTGATTTGATGAATCGTTATGAAGAAGGTCGTTTGCCATTAACTGAATACTTCGATAAAATTAGTCAAACGATTGGTAAAAAATCACAATAAATTGTTGTTATTGTTTGATATAGGATTTATTTATTCTCTCATAATTTCTTGTTTCTCTTCTTGTTAATTTCTGCATAATTATTTTTCTTCAAATAAATACTATTGAATAGAAAGTTTCGATGAAGCGGGAAAAAAATTTTGTCGATGAAATAGGAAAAAAAAAAGTGTCGATGAAATGGGAAAAATAGCTAATTGGTCTTAATTTTTCGATGAAGTGGGACCAAACCATTATATTGTGGCTACTTCTTCGAAATAAGAACATGTTTGCTGATTGTAAGGTTGTTCCAACTCAGAAACATTTATTATATTACCTCCTTCCCAAAGAATAGAAGTCCAATCTAATTTCTGACATAATACAAACCCACTGTGTTCAACCTGAATACGAAACAAGCAATTTAAAAAATTGGATAAATTAGCTCATTGCTTCTCACTATTCAATTATAGCTCTGTTGATGTGCTTAATTTCTTTTACGTTGTATTTTTTCTAGAAATGGACAAATCAGTTTTTTTTTCTGACCTCATATTATTCTGTCAGGTTTCTTCTCATGATGGATTCATGAGTAGATTCGAAATGAAACAATATTAATTTTGATTAACTTGACAGAAATATAGGCAAATCCTTGAATGAAAAATGAAACATCTTGCAAAAGTGAATTGTGATTGATTCAAATTACATAAACTTTTATCGAACTTGACAATAAAAATTAGTGGTACAATATCGATTTTATAGCACTCATAAGATCTGAACTATCTATCTCTTAGAAATTACAAACACTTATTTCATATTCAAACACTTACTTTACTTTTCTGTGAAAATAATTTAAACATGTCTTTCCTCACTTTTGAATTGTGTACAAGCTTCTATGATGAACTCGTTCAGCAAGATCATATCGATACATGTCTAATAAGAGTTTCTTTCTAACTTCTCCAAAATTCAATGATTTCTTGGCTAAAATATTGTACTAACCATAACTGTTCGTATTCATACCAGGATCTACCGAGTAGTGGAGACAGATGAGCATATGAATATGAAAAGTAGTGTAAAGGATTCACGATTTTATCTAATTAATAGTATGAAACCGGAATAGAGCTGACAGTGAATCTCTGATTTCACAGAAACTATTATATGTATTTTAAAACTGGTCACACAATTTGAAAATTTCGATTTATCAATTGTTGAATACTGTTATACTTGCAAGCTAATAAACCATAACTATAACACAAAAAAACGTTGGTCGCAATAGAAGTTTCCCTTCAAACTTCTGACTTACAGAACAAATTAGAAGCTCATTGAGTTTCTATTCTTTGGGAAGAGAAACAAGAATAGAATATAGTTGTTAAGCATTCTTATCGTAGCAAACTACTGCATATATATGTATCCTAAGCAAAATTAAGCTTAGACAGAATTCGTTTTTAACTAGACACAAAACTATGAAATAATTTTCTTTTATCTATAAATTAATTCTAATTTTCGTTTGCACTAAGAAAACATAGCACGCATTTGTTTTTTTTTTACTAGACAAACTATTTATTGTCACTTATATTGTATAATGTATGCATTAATGATTCTTTCTGCGTCGACATCGAAAAATGACTTTCGAAAGTATTTTTATGAATAAGCAAAGTAAAATTTTAAATTTTTGAAGTATTAACTTCTGAGATAAGGTAGCTTATATTCTACCTCAGAGAATTACTCAAGCTAAAAAAACCTTTATTTCTTTTTTTTTGGGGTTGGAAAAATAGCTCAACAATAGCTTAACACCAGAACATATTTACACTTTACATATTATATATGAACCACGTTAAATTCAAAGACAAATAAATATCGATAGAAAATATTACTTAAAAAGTATAAGCTAAAAGATCCTTTATATTTTTTGGTCGGAGCTTGCTAAGACAAACTAGATTTCAATTGTACATACTCGCGAACTCTAAAACTTTCTTCATTTAACTAAACTTCAATTAAAGTTACACATAACTTGATGTATCATCTTTTTCGATTTTTTTGATTTTGAAATCTCTTAAAAACTCAGTTTAATTTTTCCTAAATCTTAACTTTGCCTGGCATATATTATTTTCAATTTTGACTACTTCTTAATTGGACACCATTGCTGTGACGAACTGTTATTCATCTCCGTCCTTATACTTCATCCAACCTCTCAGACATTTAAGATAGTTGTTTTTGTCTAAGTTTGTTAAGAGCAAACAATTGTATGATGATCGTGCACAGTAGGAAGAATGATTTTTTTTCCCAACATGTTGAAAAGCAAACGGAAGTAGATAACTTATATAAACATGCAAACAAACCGATTACATGCTGTTAATTCTTTTTAACAAAAAAAAGGTAACATATGGACGTCATTGTCTTCAGTCAATTTGCACGTCGTGTAGACTATACATTATCAAATGCATTTTGTGACAATTGTTACCATTAATTTGAGGATGGCAAGATTGGATTTCAATGCTTAGAATCCAGTGGTTTCGTGTGTCTGGAAAGCAATGAACGAACAATTCGACGAGTAGCACTAACGACTAATATCAAACTTCAATTCGGAGCTACGCAGTTGAATACAGCACAAACGACACCTTTCACTGGTTATGATCTGTGCTTAGACTGTGCGAAGAAACTATTCTGACATTCACATCATCGTTTCACGTTGGCAACGTGTCGTGAATAAGAGATTAGTTTATTTGCGTTGAGAGAACTTTATTCGAACTTGTGTGACTTTATACGTTTGTTTTTACCTCGAGATTCGAAGATCTTCGAAATATTTCAATGATTTAAATTAAAAATTGAATAAAGTTGAAAAATTTATATGAACTTTTACTTGTCAGTTGACAAAATATCTAAAGACGTTGAAGAATGATGAATATGAGGCTTGTTGCTTCTAATGCTATGGAAAGATGATATTTATTTTTGTTCTAATTGTTTTTTTCGCGAAGTTTAATGACAAGAATATTGCTCAAGCCGATATAATTAAAATTATATGATTGATATTATTCTTTTGAATTATATTCTTTCAAAGCTATCATCATCAAGATTTTGGTTTCAGTTTTATTTGAAAAGAATATTGATACTTTTTCCAAGTAGCAAAAAGAGTTATGAATGTGCGGGCATGTGAGCGAAGAGAACGTTCAAAACGCCGTCATTCCCTCACTCTTCAACATAGACATGTCTATGTTTTGATCAAGATTTCATGTCACCCGATAGCGTCGACGAATCAACAATCAAAATGTCTCGATTACTGATATAACATCTGAAAGATCATCTGCAAGCATTAGCAAAAAGTCTCTATCAAAGTTACTTCAATTGAATAAACGAGAAAATCAAGAATTTTTTTATTTGACTAGCGGTAGTATTTTAATTGTCAAAGACATGTCTTTTTGTCGTCTATTATATATATTCAATACTTGCATCTTAAATATAATTCTAGAACTGCCGTATTCACTTCGAAACACGAAGCATTCTCAAGTTGAATATGTTTTACTAACTCATAGTTGCTCAAATCGTTCAAAAAGTCATTTGTCATGGATATTAATAATTCGGCATAATAACTTTATCATTTATCCACACAAGTCTAATTTCTCAATAACGTATACAGTTATGACTAATGAAACTTATTTTCTGCTGTTCGAATAAATGATAATATGTTATGTCTAGTCTTCGCGTATTCATAGTTCTGATGGTATACTTGTTGAATTTGAGGGTGTGAGTGGTTGTATCTTTTGTGCCATTCGACAAAGATTGTAGAAAAGATTTTTCTATATTTGTATAATAAAATACAATATATTGCCAAAGTTTCATCATCTTTAAATAATAAAGACACTGAAATGTATGTTTATATCAATAAAATATTAAGTTATTTTAAGAATAACTTTATCTAATGAAATTCTAAAAGATTTTAGCGTTTGAAACGTATGCTTTGCTTACATTTGCATCATGCATGTTTTTGTTTTCGTTACATTTCTTCTAATCAGTCAAGACGCTAGAATGTTATTTCATCAGAAAGAGACATATTGTGGAATACTACATAACTGTGTAAGCGTAATGAACGTCACATTTAGATGTTATTTGTATGAGTAATCTGAATCTACATGATATTCTCTATGTTAGACTCAACTGTTCAGTTACCATGAAATATGTTCATATTTACACGATCGACGTAAGTAAAACAAACTCATCTAATGATTTTGTCAATATTGTTTATATATGAAGCCAAAATAAAAAACCAGTTAAATTTTATTTTATTTGTAAAGAAGAATTAGAAACAACAACTAAATGATACCTCATTTGAAAAAAAACCTATTAATAAAATCATTAGTTTTTGCTTCTTAGTATTTGCATGAATAAAAACCTTGTTTGAATTTTGTTGACACTTATACAAGAATTAGACCATATCTAGAATCCTATTTTTTTTTCATCGATTGTGTATGTGCTAATTTTAGCAATGTATATAAAAAATAACTTTTATTCTGTGTTTTATTGATTGAATGAATTGTGCATGCAATTTGATTTCATGATCGAAAAAAATACGAAAATCTTTTCATGAATCAGTCATAATTACGATCATTTGTGTGAAATAAATTAAAATATTGATTTCATTGAAACTTTATGAAATATTTTAACGATTTGTATTAAGAAAATCTTTTTAATATCATTCAATGAATTAACATTTTCTCATATCTTCAGAAATAAAAGAGTTCTTTATATCTCTATATATTAATTATACAAAATAAAACAATGGAACATCACTTTAGTAGAAAATAAACTACCAAATCGACGATACAAAAAAACTTTAATTTACAACAAAAAATTATGATTCAAACTCGTTTATAATCATTATGAGAAGAAAAAGAAAAGAAAAAAAAAACCTATTCTGTATATAATCTTACACATCGGCCACCATATTTTAATTCGTATTGTATACGATTAAAACATGGATGCAATTGATGAATATTATGAATTTCTTCGGTTGACATTACAAATTGAAGTTCACAATCAAATCGATGAAGATGAATAAGTCGTCGTTGAAGAATAGATGCTAATTGTTGTAAACATTCATATGAATGGCAAATTTCACTCGAAGCTATTTTAAATCTTTCTAAATTCGGTGTCTGTACAAGCAAATGATCAATATCTAAAATTGATGGACCAGCTGATACACAACAAATATCAAATCGTTTAAGACTTAAATGCATAACATCAATCGATAAAGACTTCTCGTCAGTATGTAAATCAATATCAGAACATAACGATAAATCAATAGAACTTAACCAAACTGTACGAAGTGTTGATGTATTTGACCAAATTTGTCTATAACGATTTAATGAAACCGGATTATCTTCATGATGAAATATACATGTTTGTAAAGATGGAAATCGTTCACAATGAAGAAATTCATAGAAATTACGATAAAATAATGTATCACTCATTATACCAAATTCAAGATGAATTAAATAAGGCAATTTACAAAGATATATCTGTTCTAATTGATCTTTCGATGGACTATATAATATTAATGAATGTAAATAAGAAAATAACTGAAAATCAATAAAACTTGAATGATCAATAATTAAGTTAACGATATGTCTTGTATATAAATTAAAATATGGATCATTCATTTCATCAGGTGTGGAAAGCTTTAGTGAAAGTTTTTTTCTCGATCGAATAATAGCATTTAATCGAGAATTTAATCCATAAAATGATTGATATAAATCACGTATATCAAAATATTCAAATATATCAAGTATTAACTCATCAGGAAATAATTCAAGAGTTGATCGTATCATTATAAATTACAAAACAATTTTTTATCTGAAATAGAATAAAGTATTACAATCGAAAAATTACTAACATGATCGAGAAGAAAGAATCAATTTAATTTAATAGATCAATATTTTGCATTATCATTTCATTATAAAGAAATCAAAATTATCGAAATTATACGATTGTTCTGAAACACATGTTAAATGTTTTTTTTTCGATATTAACATCATTTTTATATGTTGAAAATTTTATAAATGATTAGAATCGAAATACAATTTCATAGTTATGTACGGCTCAATAATTAAACATATATGACGAAGGAAGTTGTCCAACTCATGAATTACTTTTGATTCGGAAGCATGTGCATAATGCAGATCCTAATAGGCTATAAATGCCTTGAAAAGAGTTCTAGCTCATAGCTTATTGCTGCTAACATATTGCATTTTTACAGTATTTTTCAATAAAATACTGTGGCTACTCTTCAAAAACACCTGGGAAAATGATTCTCAAATTTCGACTTGAAAATTTGCATAGAAACAAACCTTAACGAGAATAATTAATCGTGAAAATAACAGGCTATTTGTTCTGTTCCCATCCTGAAGTAAGAACGTCGTATGTACGGGTGTTTATGAGCGAGTTAAAATATGTCCTTTTAATATGATTATGTCTAGGGATAAAAACAATGAAAATATCTGAAACTTTCACAATAAACTATTCTTGTTAAAGCTTGGTTCTGTGCAAAGTTTCAAATTGAAATTTGAAAATCAATTTTTCTAGTGTTCCTGAAGGGCAACCATGGTATTGTATTGAAAAATATTGTAAAAATACAATATGTTGGCAGCAATAAGCTATAGATCCGGACTCTCGTCGGAGTATTCACAATCCACTAGGGTCTACATGATACGCATAGTCACAACTTAAAAGTGATTAATCAGTTGGGGAACTTTCCTCATTAGTTTATATAACAATTCCTTATTAGCGTAATGGCTGAATTAAATATACGAGAAAGATTATTTTTAATATTCGAAACCATGACGAAAAGATACATGTATAACTTCAGTATTGCTTTTAAACAGTGACTACGTCAAATGTATATTGCATCCGACTGAAAGATTTCAAAACTAAGATAATAGTTTCTAAATCTTGTAATAACTTTTCATGAAATTTTGTTTTATCCAGATCCCATCATATATCTTTGAGAAAAGATGAATATGATTTAAAGCTTTTGCACTCAATACTCAAGATTGCATTAAATGAATATACTCAGAGAAGATAATATTTAACAAAGTATCGCAAAATTTTTGCTGCCGAAATAACTTTTTTATTATGGAAATTTAATTATAGTTTAGAGATTTAGCTATTCGAGTGAGAGCGTCTCAAAATGATTTCTAAATTATTTTTGAGATAGAAGAAAAAGTTATTTCGAGATCCTTCTTTATTTCATTCGAACCCAACATCCAAGAAATATTTATTCTGTATGATGATAAAAATTTCTTAACATAAAATTTAAACTTCAATAAATGTTTGCTGTTTGAGTTTATTAATAGCAATTGAATTTGTTTAGATCCATTGAATTGATAGTTAAAATCTAAATGAAATCAAATTTATTCAATATAAAAATTCAGATATTTACTTACGTAACCATGATAGAAACATATGTACGCCATATGTCGGGTAAGATTAATAATAAAAATAATAATACAAATACTATCCATATAAAATGGATAAAAAATGAACGATTATTGAAAATGTTAACATTAATTTCAGTTATATCTTATACCATTACTTATTATAAAGTACTTCACGATGTAGAATTTTTGAAGATTTTTATATTTTTGATTTGTGCGTCATATTGTTTAAAATGCGTATATAAAGCTTCATAACAGTAACTTGAAATTATTTTTCATTAGGACGAGAAACTATATCGACATCGAGCTTATACTTTTTGATAATAAAAGAAATATTAACTTGAACGTAACGAGATGTTGAACTTACTTTCGAACATAATAAATTTTAATACTGACTAAAAGAACCATATTGGGTATATTTAGGAATCAATTGATTAGAGAAATAGGTAGAGGGTGCTGGTTTACAGAGAATTCATCATAAATCTTATATTTCGCTTGTTTATAATATTCAGTATTGACAAATACTTGAAATTGCTTTGTCCGGTGAATCATATTTCAGCTTTAAATGGAATATTTATTAAGTAAAAATTCATAAGTATAAAGTTATGCATTGAATACTTGTTTTGCATCATGATAAAATCCATAAATATATTTACATGATTGCTCGCTTAAGTTACAAAATTATATCTTTCTAGTCACTCAATAATTAGTTTTTTTATTGGTTTAAATTCAAAACATAGTTTTCAATTATTTTCATATTTTTAATACTAATATTGATTAAATCTTGTTGATTTCACACTGTTTAATGGAAAACTTCATGTATAACCTTGGGTGCATGTAATTTTAAGAAATAAATCTGCAGACATATTCGTTTTTTTATTCTTTAAACATTTCCACAAAGTTTTATAATTTAATATGAACAGTCGAAGAATTTCCTTGTTAATATCCATCATCAATTAAAGTTTACTATTAATACTGCAATAATCGCATGATGTTTAGAATCTGTTTTTTGTTTTATCGAAATCTATTTCTTTATTATACATATAAAAGTAAATAGATTAGATTTTCAACCTGTAACATTGTACGCGATTTTGCAAAATTTCTACAATTTAACTCTTGAAAAAAAAAGAAGAAATAGAATTCTCAACTCACATTTTATTTTTTTAGCAAAATATATAAAGTGAATATAAAATAAAATTTCTAAGTATAACTATCACCACTTGGATTCACAACATCATTATGTGTTTCAATATGTCCCGGTTGTTCGGGATTTATCGAAGTTGGTCCAGTAAGTAAACTAACAGATGTATTAGCTGGTGGTCGTCCATATCCTTCAAACCAAAGAAAAAATCTAGTGATTATAATATTTCGTCTTTCTGCTAAATTTTTTATATAATAATGATATGTTTGCCATGTTAAATGTGAAAGAAGAAAACCAAGAAAAACATCAACTGTATAATGAAATCGTGTAGCAATAATAAATAGATAACCGATTATTGTAAATATCCATACAAGATATGTTGTTAAATAAAATGATAATGGATCACCTGTTGAATCCAATTGTGGATAAAGCCAACCAGATCTACCTGGAATAATTTCTTGTGTTTTACTCTTGAATCTATTCCATAACCAACGTATTGGATAATGTTCTTCACCTTTGGAATAAGTTGTCCAAGCAAGAGCACATAATGTTACTAAAAATATGAAAACAAATCAAAATTTATTTTCAAAAATCTTCAATTCATTTACATGTAACTGTATGTCCAGAAAAAAGAACATCACCACATGTTGCATGTATAAAAAACATTATATAAAATGCTTCGACAGGAGGTGAACCTACAGCTGTTGTATTACAACCAGGCAATGGAACGCTTAATGATGTAACATAAATTGATATACTTCTCATAATAAACATAACAGCTTGAATAAAAATCCATCGACGAAAAACAATTAAACGGATATCACGTTGGAATATATAACGAATAAGAACTAAGACAAATGCTGCTAAAAGATAATAATTATTTATTGAAAAATAAGTCCAATAAGGTAATAAACGATGACCAATATCAGGCAATGTTGGTATCCAATATGGAGAATTTCGATCGGCCAAAACTTGAACAAATGAATTAACGTAAAGAGAAATGAGAAAAAAAATGATTGAGAAGAACAACGGTAAATAAGACCAAACCATTTTTTATGAATCTTGTTTGAAGGACAAATAGTGATATTATCAGTAGTCTAAGAATGTTAAAAACACGTGATCTTTTATCATTATATAAGAAAAAACCTGGGCAGAAAAAAAAAGAAGGCGATGAAGAGAATAAAACAACGACCATATATATAGAAATTAATAGTGTAACGAGGGTAAGATTAAGTTGGACGATGTCCAACCACCCATGTAACCATTAAACGCATTTTTGACGCGTTTTAACGCGTCTGGAATTGAAACAGCCTCCAAACACACTGAAATGCGTTCACCATATGGGTGCTTGAACGCGTTGCAAAGCTTTGCATGCGTTCAGACGCGTTTCGTCACTAAAACGCATCACAACTGGTTCACATTAGTTTTTAAACGCGTTTCACCGCGAACAGTTTCGTTTTTGCATCGGAATACGTCCATAGCTAGAGATAATATTAACTTAGACGTGTTTCAATGCGATTGATTTTACTTTTGCATCCGAACGCGCTTACCGTATCGGCAGCTAATGCTTTTGAGTTCCTGTAATGCATGTAAATGTAATTTCTTTATCCGTTTTGCATAGATAAGATGCATTTGAACGCGTTTCTAGCTACAAGTGTATATAGTGCTATCAATAATACAGATTACTTTGTCACAGTATACGTGACTAGATCTCAAACAGTAAACTGAACTACGTGTTTTTATTCAAAAAAACATAAAAATTATATAGTTAATTATATAGACGACGTATTCAAGTCTTACTGCGTTTCGAATTCTTAAAGAGGACTCTTCTTGATAATCTGCAATTTAAAATATCAGTGACTAGTGTTGCATGAAACAGAATATAAATACAAATAGTTGCATACGAGAAATCTCATCATATTTGTGTTCATCATATAAAGTCATGAAGACTTAGTTAATCTGTGAAATAGAAATAAATGAGTACACGTATCAAATTTCGAAATATACTGAACATTCATTCGAAACCGGTATTACAACAATATTATTTTGTTATATGTCATTACCAGCACTTTTTTCAACGAAATCAATTTCGCTCTTGTATAGCACTCATTTTAAACGTAGTAATTTAAATTTCAAAATACATCAAAAATTCAAATGTTAAGCAAAAATGTTTACTTTAACTCAAACATGAAGTTCAAAGTTAGTATCCATGTAAACCTATTAGGGATATAAACAAATAAAAAATGGAAGAAACGAAATAATCTGGGTGTATTGCAGACACAATAGTAGAGTTGCTTTCAAATACAACTTGAAACAGAACTGTATCTGAATGCAGCTGAAACCAACTTTAAATAGCCTTTAAATGTGGTAAGAACACAAAACAGGCATCCAGACACTATTGCCACAGTGCGTTTAGATGCGTCCATGTGCAACAAATATTCTATCTGGTTTGGTTATGAACGTATTTACAATTCATTTAATGTTTATGTGTTAAAGTCTAAGGTTTTTTCTGCTTCTTCATATACGAATTCTTAGACTAAAGAGTCATATGTGACAGAAGAAACAAAATGCATATAATCGTCTACAAAAAACTCAATTCTTTAAATTTATTTTCTTCAAGTTTCACTAATTTATTTGAAAAGTAAATTCTATAAATTTATCTTCACCTCGCTATGATTAAAAATTTCATTCAAAGTAAGAGAATAAAAAGAAAAAAGTAATTACTTAATTTGAATTTAAAATTTAAATTAAATTTTTTACTTTAAAAAGACAAAAAAGTTAATTTGCTGCATCTATTGCACATTTATTGAATAAGCAATTAATTATTGAAAAAGCCGTTTTTCTCATATTCTGTGATCCAAAAACTATAATTATTATTTCTATAAAGCTAATCATATGTAATCGATGTCATGTATGCAATTTTAAGTGACACTGCTAAATTAAAAAAATGAAAATATTTCCAAGGAATTGCTATAAAAATTGATGTTTTTTTCTCTATGAAAAGTCACATGATAATAACAGATAAGACTGTACGAGTATTTAGAGCTTCGTGGTAAGTTCAATGTTTTTCATTCTGTAGGTATCGTGGTCGCATCTCGTCTGTTGCACTCTATTGAATAACTTAATAATGTGTTAAATTGAAATAAAAATATCATGTGGCGATGAAAATGGATCGATACCATGATATAGAGCTCAATTTTTTACAATTTAACAAATTTTGGATATCCTAAAACGCGTTTAGACGCGTCTAGCAATAAACAGCGTCAGAATGCGTTTCCCTATCAGAACGCGTTAGGACACCCGAAAATGTTGCGTTTTGGACGCATCCAGACGCGTGAAGTTACATTGCTGACAAACGCTCGGGGACGCGTCGAAAATTTAAAAAATGAATACATGGGCACCGAGGCTGTTTGCTCATCCATCCTACAGTTTGTAAAAAAGGATAGTTTATTTTAAGACGACAAAAGTAAAACGAACGCAGATCATTCGCATTCCTTTGCACTGTATGGTCGTCGTAACTTGACCGATAAATCGATCGAGCGTCCTATAGTTTATTTAATAATATGATCGCCAAAGAGCGAAAATATAAGTATAATCCTTATTAACTTCTTATGGAGTATAGATGTAGATAGATTAGATAGATATATTCATTGGTACTACAAAACTATCGCTAAATAGAATACTCTCATTATGGCTCAGAAGAAATCGCTCGCGCATGAATTCTGCTTAGAATATTATAATTCGGTTACATTATGGTTAGAGTAAGACAAACGAAAGTAACGTGTAGTCAGAATAAAAACAGCAAGAGAAAGATATGATTTTTGTAAAATAGGCATGAGAAAGTTGTGATGGAAAAATATCGGAAGGAGAAATGTTGAAAGAAAAAATATAGAAGAGGAAAAAAGCGAAAAGTAAATATTGAAGTGGAAAAATCAAGGGGGAAACGGCGGACTTTTGGACTTGAAGTTACTTTGAGCTACTTTAAGCTACTTCAAGTTATTTTCAGCTATTTGAAGTAGCTTACTTTGAAGTATTTTTCAACTTCAAATTTACCTGAAGTTACTTGAAGTTACTTTAAGCTACTTGTTCCTACTTTGGGCTACTTGGGTGGTACTTTGAGCTACTTCAAGTAGTCTACTTTGACGTACTTTGACGTACTTTTCTACTTCAAGTCCGCCGTTTCCCCCTTGGGAAAAATATCAAAACAGGAAAAATATCGAAAAAAATGATGTCTCCAGTGAATGGTGACTCTAATCACGTCTAGTTCATTGTTGCTTTCCTTATAATTCTACTAGTCTAGGTTTTTAACCAGTAGTATTGGTGATGAGTAATACTTGATATAAATTAACTAAAAGAGTTGAATGAAGCACTATTATATAACTAAAATTCTATTGTCATGGCTGAAGCTGCTGCATCTTTAACAGATGTAACTCAACCAAAACTTCTAGCTATTTCATTTATAAGTTCACATAAAGAAAAATCTTTACTTATAGTAGATGAATATGTTTTCAAATTGAATAAAACAACAACAACTACACATTAAAATAAAATGTGTCGCGTTTATGTGCGTTCGTTATAGTGTCGTGGACTTCACTACGAAAATCTGTGGTAGTCAGAATGTGTCGTATTATGATTTTATCCTGTTCTGTCTGCTGGCTATTTATTCACCGTTCTCATTTGCGCGTACAGCTACATATAACTGACTCTAGTGAACATAACGAACTCATTCATTTTAACATGTTTTTTACTAGAGAATTTCTCGATTAATTATTAGTCGAATGAACATGCTGATCTCGATCGATGATCGAGAACGGACTACCCTGAAGCAGTCTGATGAAGATAGGACCAACTCGAGGCCAGATAGATCTCAAGATCTGACATGCTAGAGTTTTCAAAATATGAATAATCAAGTGGAACAAATTCAAAAAAATATCGCAATTTTCTTTTACAGCAAAAAAATGAAAAATGCACTACATACTAGATTCGATTCACGTTTTCAGAATGTGCCGCATGTGTCGTACAAGAATGTGTCGTGCCGTTGCTGGACCAAATGTGTCGTAACGAGCTTCTCGTGCCGTACTTGGCTGTGCCATGTATTGTGCCGCAAACTAAGACACATGTCACACATTTTATTTTAGTGTGTACTAAGTATGGGATATGTACGCTTAATGAATGTTCAGCTAAAGTGCATACTGATTTATACCGTCAATTGTTTAAAACGATTGGCGATCATAATCATCGTCCGAAGAAAGAGAAACTTAAAGTTCATGAATTTCGTGAAAAAGTCAAACAACGAGCAATAAATGAAACAACACCTATTCCACGTATGTTCTATTTACTATTTCAGAGCCGTTTTAACCGCCGAGTACAAGTAAATCATACAAATCTTTGGTCATTCATAAAATTTCAACAAGATGAAGAAGTTCATTTTCATCATATGTCTGTTCAGTTCACTACAGGTTCAGAAGCTAGACCAAAACAAGCTAAAACAATTGTTATTCAACGTCGTATAGCTAATCTTGATGAACGATATTATGACGGTGTTATAAATGCTATGGAATACTTGGATGGTTTATCATTTACAGTTGCTAAGCAGAAAAAGTGACACATTATCAATTTGCTTTCATTATCTACATTCGATTACTGTTAGAATCTTAACATTAACTCATATAATAAAATGTTCTTTTCAAATTCACAACTCTCCTAAATATTTACTGACCATCTTTTATTTTTTCGATATTTTTCCTTTCGACATTTTTACGACCAACCTCCACGTACACCCCAGACCCACAGTCACATCGTCGGATTGTGGAACTGTAGGATCCTACCACATCTGAAATCTGTTTTATTTCGATATGATTCCGTCACCCAAATTCTGAGAATATTCTTATGGGATTCCATCAGATCTGATAGATTTTAATGAGATTCCATAGGAATTCGGTCATAGCTTACTTGATCCGAACCAATTCAACGGTGAAATTGATGGACCTTAGTATCGCAGGTTCTTTTGGGAAATAAAGTTGCAAAAAACTGAACAAAGATGAGAGCTTTGACTTAGATGTTTATTCACTAGTGACCTTAACATATGAGCTGTCTTTCAAGCAGCTAGAATGAGCATCACATTTTTTGAGCCCTACAAAAGCAAAAATATATTTGACAATAGTGATAAGGTACTAGTAATAGAAAAGTTGGAAAAAGAGCTTCTGGTCTGAATGCCATTTTGTTGATAGCTGTTGAGCACCTTTCATGCGGCATGATATTTAATTGGGACTTCTCCTTATTAGCAATCTTTAATGAAATTCTAGTCAAGCGTCATTAATAATTATTGTGACCGATTGTAATCCTGCTTTCAGTCTAAAATAATTCCAAATTAAGAATCAGAACAGGTGCATTCTAATTTTCACCAATTATTTGTTTTTTTCTAAATAGATTTAGCGTCCTAGCTTACAAGGGAACATTCCCAGGTGCCCGATCGCTTTTGAGTCGGGACTTTGCGCATCTTGTAGGCCTTGATGAATTATGTCTACCATAGAAAAAGTTCGCGCCCCTAGCTTGTTCCTAGTGAGATATCGAGGTTTTAATGAATTTTCTCTATAAGACCCCAAATTTGCAACAAGGTCATCTTTTTGAATTTTGATCTGAAACTTTGTCCACATAAACACCTTAGCTAGACTAGTTTGCATAAAAAATTTCAGAACTTTTGGACAAAGTCTCTCCGACATATGAAGCTTTCAACGTATAGGTTGTTTTCCGTAGATAGCGCATAAAGCATACATTTTTTGAAAGCTTCATATCTCGGCGAGACTTTGTCCAAAAGTTCTGAAATTTTTTATCCAAACTAGTCTAGCTGAGGTGTTTATGTGGACAAAGTTTCATATCAAAATTCAAAAATATGGCCTTGCTGCAAATTTGGGGTCTTATAGAGAAAGTTCATTAAAACCTCGATATCTCACTAGGAACAAGCTAGGCGCGCGAACTTTTTCTATGGTAGACATAATTCATCAAGGCCTACAAGATGCGCAAAGTCCCGACTCAAAAGCGATCGGGCACCTGGGAATGTTCCCTTGGTAGTAACACATTAAAATATGTTATTTAAAGATATACAGAGGAGTCGCTTTGATTGTTTTAAGTGACAGACGCTTTTTACTGTAACGTTCCAGGGAAATATTTGATATTTTCTAGAGTGACCTCCTATTATAACAATCATTCAAAACCAACCTGTGATATAGGTCAGAGATCAAACTGAACCAAACTTCAACTGGATGACTTCAGTTCGGTTTGGATCTGTAGCAATGCTGAGTTTTGAAAAGTCATCTTATATACTCAAACAACAGCTCTAATTTCTTTTAAGTGGGTCATCAGTTGAAGGGTAGTGAAAATAAATGATTATCAACCGTGAAAATACTAAAATATACCTTGCTTCAATTATTTTCGTTGACCCGAGCCGAACTCAAATCGAACTTAAGTGATTAGGTTTGGTCCGAGTCGATCTGAATCGAATTTGAGCCGTCGTTTTCAAAACTGAGTCGAACCGAACCGAACCCGAACCGAAAAAGCCTAGTTCGTTTCGATCTCAGATCTAGGCCATAGCTTTTGTGGATACCACGATGTTACGTTCTCCATAATTTGCTTCCAAGATTCATTTAAGCGTGGTCCAAAGACTGACGCGCTACTTGTATTATATGAACTGAAAATTATAAATAATGAATAAAACTTTTATTATGATATGAAACTTTAAATCAACTCGTCATATTGTATAAGAATAAATAAAGTTTAATAAAAATGTTAAGCGTAAAAAATAACTTCAAAAGAATAAAATATTATCAAACGATAGTTTTAATTTCTGTAGTTCTTTCATTAGTCTCGTTCAAGAAAAGCAAACCTTCAATAACCATGGTAAAGGACATTTTTCCACATCGACGAACAACT